TTGAAGTCATCAATGTTGAGACCCAGCGTGTTGGCAAGGTCCTTTTCCAGGGTGAGCAGGTTGAGTGACTGCGATCTTCGTAGTAATTTGGAGCAGGTACTCCAAAGTAAGGCCTCAGTGCGGGTGCGAAAGCCTTCCCACGTCACGAATCGGCCGTGTGCAAACGGCCTGAGTAGCCAGTTGGTGAGGCCCCCGTGGATAACCTGAACCAGGCGTACGTCCCTAATATCCATGCCTGACATGTCGCGAAGGTTGCCATGTGGAGTGTTGGCAACAGTCATGGGCAGGCTGAAGTTGTAGAGTTGGTTGACATCAAACATGCCGTCTCCAGGTGTCCAGTCAGGCGAGGGAGTAAGCCAGGCTTTCTGAGGACGAACCGGTAGAGCTGCAGGAGGTCCAGGTGAAGGTGTGGGTTGGGAAGTAGTGATCGGTGGTGGCATCACTGGTGGCATGAACTTGGATGGCGTGGGATCAGGAGGAATCGGCATCATGTAGTTGATCGCCGGGTATTGGAATTGCTGTGTGGGATTGTGAGTCGATTGAAAATTGGTAGGCACCATCGGAAAGTTGTTAGCAGCGTTGTAGCCGGAGTTGTGTTGCCATGAAACCAAGTTGTTCCAATCCATGTTCTCCGAGGCCTGGTTGTCATTGTGCTCACGTCGGCGTGCTTTGTGAGCTTGAGGGGACGGACTCCGATCACGTCTGCGTCGAGTCCTGGATCTATCACGATCATCACGCCGAGACATGGTGACGCAACTGAATCCGAATTTGCGCACTTCCACCTTGAGAGCATCAGACCCGACAACATGCAAAGCAATGGAAATGCAAGTTCGCGGCCCTCAACTGCAATGGTCGAGCGAAATGTACAAGGCAAAGCAAATACAAGTCAGCAATCGACAACCGCAGTGATACGAACAACAAGTTCAACCAATAATCAAAGTATGCAATGAAAATCGTCAGCTACCAACTGTGGTGAGACGTCGCTATGATCTGACGGCTTTCTTCCCTTTAGTGAAACCTCGTTCCTGGTTAAATGTGAAATTCCGCTGTTCTATGATACGCACGTTGAGGTCAAATTTTCCGACAGAGCCGGCCCGGGGTCACACAATGGGTACACCCGAGGATTCCCCACGAATGGGGTGTACACACTTAAACTCCAGATGGAGAGTGCTAATCTTTCGAGTACAACTGATGAGTCTCGAGTACAACTGATGAGTCTCGAGTGGGTGGGATTCGGCTTGCAATACACTTGGTTTCACTCTAGTGTCGAAAACGTTACCCGAAAGAACAAGAAGCACAAACAGCGCCGCAACCAAGGGGGCCAAAAGGACGTTGCATCACGGCAGGTACGTCAGTCCAGCGTCCTGGACTGATTTCACGATCCAATGGTGCGGTCTTCGTTGGGCGATGCACACCAAAGGAACCATCGCCCCCTGCCCCTGCTGCTACGGAAACTGTTGTGGTGGCAGGGTTTTCTGCCACTCCGCACACACACACACACAGACACAGACACAGACACAGACACAGACACAGACACAGACACAGACACAGACACAGACACAGACACAGACACAGACACAGACACAGACACACAGACACACAGACACACAGACACACAGACACACAGACACACAGACACACAGACACACAGACACACAGACACACAGACACACAGACACACAGACACACAGACACACAGACACACAGACACACAGACACACAGACACACAGACACACAGACACACAGACACACAGACACACAGACACACAGACACACAGACACACAGACACACAGACACACAGACACACACAGACACACAGACACACAGACACACAGACACACAGACACACAGACACACAGAACACAGACACACAGACACACAGACAACAGACACACGACACACAGACACACAGACACACAGACACACAGACACACAGGACACACAGACACACAGACACAGACAAGACACACAGACACACAGACACACAGACACACAGACACACAGACAGACACACGACACACAGACACAAGACACACACACCAGACACACAGACACACAGACACACAGACACAGACACACACACAGACACACAGACACACAGACACACAGACACACAGACACACAGACACACAGACACACAGACACACAGACACAGACAGACACAGACACAGACACACAGACACACAGACACACAGACACACAGACACACAGACACACAGACACACAGACACACAGACACACAGACACACAGAGACACAGAGACACAGAGACACAGAGACACAGAGACACAGAGACACAGAGAAACAGAGACACAGAGACACAGAGACACAGAGACACAGAGACACAGAGACACAGAGACACTGAGACACAGAGACACTGAGACACTGAGACACAGAGACACAGAGACACAGAGACACAGAGACACAGAGACACAGAGACACAGAGACACAGAGACACAGAGACACAGAGACACAGAGACACAGAGACACAGAGACACAGAGACACAGAGACACAGAGACACAGAGACACAGAGACACACAGACACACAGACACACAGACACACAGACACAACGACACACAGACACACAGACACACAGACACACAGACACACAGACACACAGACACACAGACACACAGACACACAGACACACAGACACACAGACACCACAGACACCACAGACACCACAGACACCACAGACACCACAGACACCACAGACACCGCAGACACCGCAGACACCACAGACACCACAGACACCACAGACACCACAGACACCACAGACACCACAGACACCACAGACACCACAGACACCACAGACACCACAGACACCGCAGACACCGCAGACACCGCAGACACCGCAGACACCGCAGACACCGCAGACACCGCAGACACCGCAGACACCGCAGACACCACAGACACCACAGACACCACAGACACCACAGACACCACAGACACCACAGACACCACAGACACCACAGACACCACAGACACCACAGACACCACAGACACCACAGACACCACAGACACCACAGACACCTCAGACACCACAGACACCACAGACACCACAGACACCACAGACACCACAGACACCACAGACACCACAGACACCACAGACACCACAGACACCACAGACACCACAGACACCACAGACACCACAGACACCACAGACACCACAGACACCACAGACACCACAGACACCACAGACACCACAGACTCCACAGACACCACAGACACCACAGACACCACAGACACCACAGACACCACAGACACTTCGACCTCTGTATATCTATCTGAGGTACTGGCAATACTCACGTGCTTGCGGGATGTAAGAGTCGCGCACATTGTGTTGGACAATCACGAAGCCCGGTAAAACAATAAGGCGCAAAAAAACGATAAGGTTGAACATACATCTAATGTGTAAAACGATAAACTTTGACGCAAAACCGATAAGAAAACACATGTGCAGCCCATTTCAATTGAGGTTTTGCCGTGGCCTCACGCTTGGCGGAACGACACTTGTTTCTGCCATTTCATCGAACGCCTGCAGATCAATGAAACGCTGACGCTTCGCACCTGAACTTCTTGGATGATAAATAAACGTGCCTAGATAGTCTAATCACATTTGCACATGCATAAGTGATTCCGCTTGGCCTTTGCCCCAATGCTGTTCTCATTTGCATCATCATCTTAGAAATGCCGAGGTTACCCTTTTTTTTCTCGAAAGGACTTGCATGGAACCTGAGAATTGAAAAAGACCAGCTTCAAAAGGAATGGCAACCACACAGTGGTGGACTTGTGATTCAGATTTCCTCCGTCGGTTTCGTGGGATGGATTGGACATCCCCGAGTTGTTTCAGTGGACGCGCAAGAGGTAAGCCGCCTGCAGAAGCGGCACACAATTGGCCCTGAGTTGCAGACACGTAGTCGTGACGAACCTCCAAAGATATTGACTGGGCGGATGGTAATCACTTCCCTGAAAAGAAGGCACTCCAGAACAACGGTTGTCCTTTTCCCAACATGTAGTAGTGCATCTAGGATCTGCAAACTTTAAAGAAGGAACCCCCAAAACTTGCCCCCCCCCCCAAAACGAAAATACACAGGCCGGTGGTTTCTCTCACTTCACTGCCAGAGACGCTTGTCCATTGGAACGGCACCAGGAGCGTCCGAGGTACTTTGGCCCCGAGGGGGAGCAGCCAAAGAGGTGCCTCCATTCCCCCCAGCGCACTTCGGACGTGCGCGCCAAGCGGAACGAGGTGTGTGATGGGTGGAAGGTTGAGGGGTGAAAGCTACAAGCAGGCAAGCAGGTGTTGGTCGACTCAAGCGCTGTTTTTGTTTATACAGTTTGTTTAGGGCTGATTGAGGCTGGATTGAGGATGGACACCGTTTTGCCAGTGTCGCAGTGTGTCAAAACTAGATGAAACCTTGAAGAAACCAGACTGACACCAGGCAATTCTGAGAAAAGGACACGATGGAAAGGAACACTATTCTGGTTGCAAAAGGGAACCAGCTTGACACTAAACGGTTCTGAGAAAGAGGCCTCTTGTTGCCACATCGAGGGCCTTCCTGGTGACATGAAGAAACCCATTGCGGGGAAGCAGTTGTTCTTTGGTTCGACCTTCAACAACACCTCTTGCACAAAACCGCATGTAGAAAAACACGGTCATCAACTTCTTGACGGGGTGCCAAAGTGAAGAAACAAGCTTGGGGCACCTGGACCTTCGGTTGGGCAGCGTCAGGGCTCCCAACCGTGGCTTTTGTTTGAGATGCCGAAAAAGGCCCAGTAAAGCTTCCCACCAAGCGACTCGCTTTTCGTGCAAGCCTCGCCGCTTTGGTGAACTCGGCCGGTTCTCGTGGGCCCTTTTTGTCTTGCAAGATATTTTCTTGCATCTCATGTGTCATCTCTTTGATCACCTTTCATCCCAAGAAAGTGTTTAAAGTAGCGATCGAGTTTTTTTGTTTTTTCGTGGGCCCTTTTAGTCTCAGCTCGGATCCCGCAGCTCGGCTCGAAGCTTCGAGATTCCGGACTGCGCTCCAAAGTTCGTTTTGGGGGGGAAAGGCCCTCGACTCCCAGGCGCGGCCGCTTGGGTCTCCGAGTGTGTCTTCATTTGGGGCTGCCTGAATCGGATTGACCTCTGGAAAAGGAAGGTTTCCCTTTGTTTTTTTCTTTTCTAAAACCACTCTGAAAAGGCCCCAACACCAGAAAAGAGAAAACCATTTGCTGGCCGTGACTGGTCCTGGGCAACGGGTCGGCCTTGTGGACGATGTGGCTCAATCTTGCCTCTCCGCGGGTTTGTCAGCCAACAAAAGGTAGGATATGTATATATACTCCCGAATTTCGGCAGGGCTCCTTAAAAGATACATTTTGCCTATTTGAAACATAAGATGGCTTTTTCAACCAAAATAAAGGGAAACCACCATTTACAAGGCAATGTTCGGGTGTACAATGTAAGGATCCCTGTTCGGGTGGTGAAAGAAGCCACAGTTGCAAGACGACTTCATTTCGGGCCCCCCAACATCTTTATGAAGGCACATCTTGCCTGTCTCAGAATGGCTGATTGCATGCTTCAAGCTGGCCTCGGGTCCTGCATGAACCGGCATGTTTTTGCACGGAAGGCCCGGTGAACGGATCGGGCGCGGAAGTTGTCCACAAAAAAATACGGATAGCAAACGTTCAGATGTACTTTTGTGTTTTTTTGTTTTAACAGATTGAATGGGTGGTGTTCCTTTTGGTTTCGCTTTACAACCACAACAACAAAGGGGTACCAGTACCAACTCTGGAAAAAGACTCCCCCAGATCTGCGAAAAGGGAGCCAACACGCATGCTGCTCACCAGTCAACTCGTCGGAACATGTGAACGTGCAGGATCTGAGCTTGGGCGCGCTGTGAATGCGAACCTCGGATCTAAACCCGTCCTATCCAACGCGGGGGTGTTCCCTCAAGTGGTTTGCGTCCCCACTAAACCTTGTCCTTGAGCCCCGATCAAAATCAACCAGGGGTCTAGGGTCGACATGATATGTGTTCTTTCCAAGGGACTTCCTTGTAGCTCTTCAAACCTGTCAGACTGTTAGTCCAAACAACCAGCCTCCAACTAACTTCCAATGACTGCTTTTTCTTGAAGCCGGACATTCCTTTCTTGGAGAGGGAGTCTTCGGGTGCTGGAAAGGGCGCCTTGCTTTCCTATCCAAATGACTGGAAATCACCCCAACGCCCAGGCAGATGTCTGACGTGGTAGACCTCCTGGAGGAGGGGTGAAGTCCTTGAGGTGTGGGAAGGATCCCTGGGTGAAAAGGTCCTCTTGGGAGTTCAACGAAATACCCTGGGTCAAACCAAGCCAGAAATTCAGCCCTGTCCCATGCCATTCCATGCCTTCGGTCCGTAACCCGACCCGGTTGCTACATCGACAAGCCGAGTGCCCAGTTCCCAGTGCTCTCCGAGGGTTTGGTACGGAGATTGCGGTGAAACAGGTCGCCAACAGGACCCAACGTTTCGGGGGCCTTAGGGTGAGCCTTATTCTTGGTGCAATTAGGCAAACGACTGTCGTTACGTTTGTTTTTCTTTTACAGAGAGTCCTTCGTAGATTGGTGAAAGGCCCCCAAATCCACGCTCAAGCCCGGCAGTCAAGTCAAGTAAACATTGGGCTGAAGCTTGCACATCAAAGTCGCCAGAGCCCACATAGTGAGCTCATTGAAGCTCTGACCTTCTGCCCTGATCGGGTGGAACCAAGCCACCTTGTCACCTTGTTGACCACGCACATAGTGTGTCATGAGTGAGTGTGTCATGAGTGAGGCAAGCCGAATTCTGAAGCTTGAGCTTGCTCTCCAGCTTTTGAAATCCGCAGTCTTTGGCGCAACCTGTGCCTCGACGAGCTCTGAAGCTAGGCAACACCTTGTTGCCTGTGTGCAAACTGGTTTCGCAACAGCAACGAATGTCGTGTGGGCCCGAAACGTCCCAGGTTCCCTATGGGTTGTCCACAGAAGTTGTTCTCTTCGATGACATCAAGTTAGGCTGACTGGGCCCCGAGAAGCAAGTGAATGGCCGTTGGACGGACTGCGAGCTCAGGGAGTTCCAGTTAAACGAAAGAGGACCTTGGCACGAACAAACCCCCTTTTGAGGTAGGAAGGCCGCATGCATCACATTCCATCATGGCGCTAGATACAAATGGTTTGACAAATAGATAAGTAAATATATAGAGAAATAAACAAGTGAATATGTAGATAAATATAGAAAATAGGTAAGCAAATAGATAGACGTAAGCAAATATATAAACACAACAGTTATTACATAGACATACAAGTAAATAAATCACACATAATCCACCAGATATGTACATGTATATATATATATATATATATATATACAGAGTTCAATGTACAATCACACAACATTAAATCTCATATCGCTGGGCCGCAAATTATCCCCATGAGGACTCCCCTGCGCCGTCTCCGCCGGAAGCGCCACTTCCGCCCACAGAGGCGCAGCTGCAGCAGGCGCGCCGAAAATCCGATGCTGGCCGCAGATTTTGGGCGGCCCGTGGTTTTTTTGGGGTTCCCGGGGACATCATGCTTCTAGGGGTTCAACCATCCTTCTTGGCAAAAACCAGCTGTTTTCCCAGGGTTTCTGGTAGTTTTCTGGAAAGAAGGATCCCTGGAAAGAATGGGGAAGCTACCCTTAGAATGTTCCCGGGGGGGGCGGTGGGGGGGTAGAGGTGACAGTGCAGAAATTCTTACTTGGATGTTTGTTGCCAAGTTAGTGAATTTTGGTTGGTAACCTAGGCTACTCATTCATAAGTACGCCATTCAGTAGGGTGAACCTTGTCGAACGGGGGGTACCCCAAGTGGCGAACCACCTTCCTAACATGGCCGAACATCCAAAAAACGGCCCCGATATACGGTAAGTTTGAAAGAGCAACCAAAAGCATGTTTGGGGATTTGCATCCAGAAAGCAACACTCATAACTGTTGTGGATGGACGACATCCGCACCAGTCAAAAGATAGATGAAATCCGATTTAAAGAGTGGGATACCTACCAGCTGGTGCCTAGTGGATTTGTCCATCCCGGTAGTTTGCTTACTTGATGAACCAGATCCGGTCATTATTTAGGTGTTTATGATGGTTTTTGCTCATATTGTTTGTACTTGGGTGTTCGGCCAACTTACAAAGTTGCTGGAAACCTCGGTTATAAGTCCCCCTAAGTGGGGTTAGCCTTGTCGAGTGGCGAATCTTTTACTAACCTGGCCGAACATCCAAGTATTACCTGATGAAAAAAGTGCCGGGTGGTCCATAGATCAAGAGATTGATGTAGTTGATCTATTTCATATCTACATGTGCATTATATATATATATGTCCATATCTCTGAGATCCACATATATATATATATATCCATATCTGTTCCCTCTGGCTTTTGGCAGCACTCCCGACGGCGCATGTTCGAAGTTATGGGTCGAAGCCAGGTGATCAAGTCTCTGCTCCTCGGCAAAGACCTGAGCACCATCTCGCTGAAGGCATGGCATGCGCATCGCATCGAGCGAGGGATTCGTCGGCTTGGATGAAAACATCGCATTGTCGCACTTAGTCACCTAGTTTTGTGGAAGTTCTCAAAATGGTCCCTTAAAGTGGTTGATTTTGTTTGGCTTCCCTACCTCTTTGCCTTTTTTGTGCTTTGCTTCATTGCCTCTTGCAAGTTTGCGACGTAGTTTGGGTAGTTGACACCAGGACATACGGATGTCAAAAGGTAGCCCCTGACTTCAAGTGGACGGGACGGTTGATCCTCTTAAGTCTTGCAAGCAGATCAAATTTCTACCGGTGGTCCAACCGAAAGAGCCAACCTGGTTCTTAGCATGCCCCGCAATCGGCACTTCCCACCAGAGTAGCTGCTGATCTTTGACCCCCGTGCAACAAAACAATTACCACTCATGGATTTTGCGAGGGATAAAGAGTCTCAAAGCAATGGGTCCAATTTCAAGCATTTCATGTTTGTTTTCAAGAGTCGTAGTCATGAGGGACAATAGTCGATGCGATTTGTACAGCATAAGTTAAGAAGCAAATCTGCTGGTGCCACAGACTGCGCCACTCGCCGATTTGTGGACTCGTCACAAAAGCGCTCAGGCGCTGCGCCTGGACGTGGAGAAGAGCCCGGAGCCCCGGGCCTGCGGTTGAAGGCACGCCTCCCATGAGACAAACCCCAAATATCCCATGACAGACCTCCGGCGCCCTCTTTGTCGGGCGCGGATTGTACGTCAGGTGCGGCAAGTAGCAGTCGGCGGCCTTTGCCTCACTCACGAATCGGCGGGATCTGAGCTTGACTCGAACTTGACTCGAAGCTATTCACAAGACTTGCTCCTCCAGAGTCGCGGTTTGTGGATGGGGTTTTCGGGCCACTTTCTGATTCTGTACCGAGGGAATCCCCTTCAAAGTGATCAAGTGGCCATCTGGGCACAAGTCAAGGTGACGGACCGTGCCAGCTTTGCTTTAGCCAAGAGTTTTCCACTCGGGACACATGTCCGGCGGAATCTGAGGTGCCGGGGTAAACAGTGGTTTCCGAATCGGAGCTTGGCAAGTGAGCCACGATCAAAACCGATTCGGGTAGATGAAGTTTAATAAGGCATAACCCCAACAATAAGTGGGTGCCATCGCCGCCTTTCCAATTCCTTACACGAAAACCGATCGGTTTTGAAGACTTAAGTGTGTTTGTCATTTTTTGGAGATTGGACCCCCGAAAATGGCTTCGGCTGTCCTTTGCTTGCTGGTGCTCAGCAGGGAATGAGGGAATGGCCCCTATAAACCATTTTTCGTGGTGTCCTTTCGCCGAGCCGGTTCATTCCATTTCTCATTCCCCCACGGAAAACCCCCCGAAAAGATGGTATGGAGTAGCGCGATGCTTCTCGGACAGTATAAGACCTGGTCGGGCCACTAAAGTTGGGGCGGTCCAGATGTCCAGATCCTCCCAGGTACCACCGGGACCACAACAAGTCCAGCTAAACGGCCCGGAAAGTGGGTTGCTCGTGGCCTTGGGCCGGCAGATTTGTCCGGCCGGATCGAGGCCTGCAGCTGCCCGCCGGGGGCCTGGACGCGCGGAAGCAGGAGATCCGGCAGCTGGCGCAGGACCTGGCCCGGAGCCCAGGTCTCCGTCGAGTCCGCGGAGATGCGCGGATCCCGCGGGATCCCGCGGATCTTGGCATAAACGTCCAGTGGCCGGATTTTGCTTGGTATGAGTTTCACTCATCATGTTTTCTCCGTTGGGTTTCAACCGGACTCAATTGCGACATGTGGGCGTGTTTGTTGAAGTGTTTATCTTCTTGTCCAGGGGACAAAACGGCAAATGGAAGATTTGGTTGGACGTGACACCCCAAGTGCCCCAAACTGGAACTTACCCCTTTGGCCTCCTTTGGCTCTGACCGCCGAGTTTTGGGCACCTGCCTGGGCGCCTGAAGGGACGTCCAGATTTTTAAATTCCATTCCGAATCCGGTGTTTCCGTGTTTGGTAAGACTGGGCCGTCACTGTTGTTCGCAGGTTGTTGGATTTTTAGGGTTTTTGGTTCTGTTCATGTTTAGAAGGGGGCTGCAAAAAGCGAAGTTTTTGCTACCCTACCAAGGGTTGGAAAGTGGGTGAATGGAACTTGACTGGCCTTGGGTTCATCTTACGACCAAATGACCCGTGGAATTTCATTTATGGTGCTTTGCCAGAAAGGGGTGACATGTCGTGGGGAAGGAAGTTTTCGTGTACAGTGCACAGCCTGTTCCAGTGGAAGGGACATCAACCCCTGGAATTTGTCATTGGCAGGATCTTCAAACAACAAACCCACCTAGAATGGCCGATCAACTAAGGAAGAATCAATGCAGGTAGGCTTGGGCTGCCACACGCCACTCACCATGAGCCAAGGGAGTCTACGGCGGCAGCATTATCAGCGGCCAAGCAACCATCTAATCAACCAATCTACCAACCAACCAAGCAAGCAAGCGGCCAAGAGACAAGTCTAAGTCGGGGCCGGCATGCATCACCCACGCGTGTCGTTTCTTTGAGGGTGCCCGTAGGATCTGTTGTTGGATTCAAAAGGAAACCAAAGGGAACACCCATTTCGGCCCCGGCGGGGGGGGGGTCCTATTTCTCCTCCTGCGGGGTGCAGCCCGAGGTCCTGGAGGCGCAAAATGCGCCGCAGCAGGCGAATGGCTCGCTCGTCTTTTGTCCTGGAATTCCGGGCCCCAGGACCCAAAGTAAACCGTAAAGTTCGTTGCGCTAACGTGAAGCAATCCACCTGGAACTCAAAAGGGTACCCCTCAAAAACCCCACATGGAGGTTTTGGGTTCCGTGTCAACACCTCCATGGCTCGGGCCGTTCGCGAACGTGAAGAAATCAAAATCAACCTGGGGGATCAGTTGAGCCTATGAAAGTCGGGCGTGAGTCCCATGCCTGGCATGAACTCCTTGAGCCGACGGTTCCAGCCTTTGCTCAACGACACAACGCAGACTCCCTGCCAGCGTCTGCCTATTTCATGAACCAGGGTTGTTGTAGTATCTTTCTGGGTTCTCATCACTGGAACATCGACAGGAGTTTATCTGGATATTGTGCAGATATCCTGTAGATTGTCCTGCGTTCTTGAGTTCTATTTGGATTTGATTCCTCCTGTCTTCAATTGATTGACACCAAGAGCGGGGGATCCAGAGGCAACTTTAGAGGGAGTTGGAACATGTTCGTTGTTCATTCAGATTTTGGCAGGTTTGGGGGTGTCATGCGAGACAACATTCCAGAGATGTGGGGTGTGGTTTCGATGTCTTTGATGGCGCCCTTAGGGTTTGTTTTTAAAGGCAAAAGGGAAGCCACCTGGAGGCTGAGGGACAGTGCCAACCACAAAGCTGTGCGGATCTCCGCGGCGTCAATTCTTTGCTCTGGTTTTTGCCAGGTCTTGGAGGCTCACCTTCGGGGTGTTTTCGTTCTGGTGGCTTTCCGTTTGGGGGCAGGGGCTGGTTGTTACACACGTCGCGCAGCCTTAATGCGCAAACGTTGCCATGCAAAGAACCTTGGCTTGGTCCTTGGTGAATCAGTTGAGGGGTTTGGGGAAGGAACCCTTTAATACCCTACATATCAACCAAAGGGGTCGGTTCTCAGGCATTTCAGGGAGTGAGGCAATTCACTCCATCGAGCTGGTGGTCGAAAGGGAACCATCTTGGGGGGACCGATTCGTGTGTTTTTTGTCGGAACTTTCCAAAATTCGCTTCGGTTTTCCTGAAACCCCAGGCCAACATCAAAAAAACCGGAGCCGCGCCCATTTCGAGCAGCCATTTGACTTGACGCGCATCAACTCACCCGAGCGCCGGCAGGAGCCGGCGGAGCCCGCGGCCAAGAAGCGAAGGACCTTGGCCCAGGCGGGGGAACCGGAGCGTACCATGCACGACATCCACAAAGGCATTGGATGAGTACAGAAGTTTGGGCCGTTTTTGTGGTCAAAGAAGCTTAGGTGATTTCCTCAACTCCATGCGTCCCCAGAAATCGGAGCCGCCCCATGCATCCCCGAAACCCTTCTCGCGTGCGTCCCCGGAAGCCCTGCTCGGAACTGCCCCGTGAATTCGTGGGGACTCTCCTCAACCGCCCTGTGCGCGCCCGGATTTTTGTTTGAGGAACCCCTTTCCTCGGCCTTGGAGCCGGCCCGTGCCGTCTGGATCCCTCCGAGGAAATGCGCAGGGCTCGCCCCAGGCTCAGCGTGACCGCCGCGCCCTTCGAGCGCTTCGGCTTTGACGTTACGTCAGACGCCAGTGACGCCATGACGGTGCCGGAAGAGCTCAACCTCGAGCTGGAGACGCTGTATGGATTCCACTGGTTTCAGTTGAAACCCCTGAAACATGTTTTTCATCAAGGTGGTTTCAATGAGTATGGACCAAACATGGGCCAGAATCAAACATATGGGCAGCGGATGTCGCGGCGAGGTTCAGATCGAGTTGACCACTTTTTGGGGCCAAACAAAATCAAGCAGCTTTGCTCCTTCTAAAATGAACAGTTATTTGCAGAGGTGTCGCCTCAAAATCGACCAGCCAGAACGAATGAGTTTCCTTGCTGTCAACGTAGGTTTTCCTTGCTTCCCTCCAGCAAAAGGGCATCAACCTGTCCCTCTGGGAAGGCACTAGCCGACTGAACTTTTGGTGGTTACATGTTTAGGGCTTGTGCTTTTGTTTCCTTGTGGCCCACGTGGGACACAGTCGATTTTTCTGCTGCTTGGTGGCTCTGGAATCATTTCTAGATCGTCTTCAGGGGCCTCCGAGAAGGGGCCAGTTTATCCAAAAAAAGGAGACAGGTGGGGGGGGGGGGGTCGGACAGTCGGACAGCAAGGGGTTCCGAGCTGGGAGTCTCGCACTATTGCCTACTGCAACATCGCGTTCGTCTTGCAGCGTTTCTTCCTCAATGCTTGCGCTATTTCGCCTTCCGAACATGTTCATGTTTCCGCAGCTGTCCTGGGTGTTGGTGCAAGTGGCATCAAACCAAAGTCATTTTGGGGGTCCACTTTTCTTGAGGGTAGGAAGGGTTGGTTTCAACCTTTTCAATGTCGCTGGGTTTGGGCACTGCTAAATTGGGTTGGTTGGTGTCCTGGTTTCGAAACCTGTTGAAGTTGGGTAGAGCCCTTTTTAACTCAAGGTTCTGATCAAGACGTGCGGTGGGATTCACGTGAAAGTGACGTCCTCAAGATTAGCCTCGAATTAACTGATCCTGCAGCTTCAAACGACTAGAAAAAAGTAGGTGTTTTGGTCATTGTATTGCTTTTGCCTGTTTCGTATCGGTTTTTTACCGCAAAACGACTAAGACGCCTAGAAATTTGAATTATTGGGTGTTTCCTTCTTGCACAGGGCTTTCTCTCTCATTCAGCTTGATATTGCCCACTACACCAGATGTTCGAATCTTCAGAAACTTCTAAACACTTCGAATCCTTCCCTCCATCAACACCCTTCAATCCTAGCTGTGCGGGGGAGTGGTGCGCTCTAAACATGCTTCGAGTGAGAAACGCACTTTGTTCGTACCACTTTTGGCCGCAAAGCGAGCGCAAAAACCCGCAAAACGCCCGCAAAAACCCGCAAACAAGCGCAAATCCCAAAAAGTGGGTCAATTGGGGTTGTTTCATGCACTGCCCGCTCAAAAGCATGCCCTGATTGGGCACCGATGTAGGGTCATGCTTGCAACGGGAAATGCAAGCACCGAGAAAGGAAACTATATTGATATGTACTAGTTTTCCAGCGGTTCGCACTAGAACCCCCAGTTTTTCTCCAATCGTACCCATTACCCAAAACACCCAGAAATTTCTGGGTGTTTGAATCTCCAGGATGCTTTAAAATGGAAACGAGCCACCCCCACAAGTTCTTCTCAGAATCTCTCGAAAATCTCATGCCGAGCTAAGGTTCTAAAACAGGGAGGGACATAGAGGGACCAAGTGTTCCTCTCCGACCGCATCTGCTCTTCCGGCGTTGTCTGCCGGAACTCCGTAGGCGCCGGATGCTGCCCCGGCATCCCCGGTGAAGACCAAGGCGCCCAAGCGCAAGGCAGGTGGACGTCTCAGGTGTCCATCGGCGTTGTTATTGGTTGGGTAGACCAGTTGTTTTTAGCGGCAAACAAGAAGTTTGGACATTTTTGGCCAGTCCACTCAGGAAGGGGGCAGAACAAAAGGTTAAAAGGTCGGCTTTGGACAAGTGAGCTCATTGTTGTCTTGAAACACCATGGAACAACTATACCAAGAGATCAAACCACAAGGAATCAAGTCGGAAGGTGCCAATTCTGAGTCTTTGATTGTCAAGGCCTGTTTTGCTGTGTTCTGCTTCGTCACTTGTAGACCCCAAAACAAAATCTGCAGGGATTGTCCTAGCTTCCTGAATCAGATTGCAACCACGCCGTGCGGTTGTCAGAGCTTCAGCTGGTGCATGGAAACCTCCTGACTACAACGTGTGCATGATAGCCAATTCTAAGCCTGATTTGCCTGTCTCCAACCAACAGCCAGCCAAATGTACACATAAGTGTCCTTTTCAGAAA